TATAGATAGATAGGGAATTATGTTTTCATCTTTGTTGATAAAGGTCTTTAGTGTGGAAAATTGATTTACTGCTCTGTGTTTTTACTTGTCTTATCTTGAGGCCTTCATCATATCTGGGAAGTAGATTTGTATTTGTTGTTGAACTCTTGTTGGCTCAATGTGGCACTCATTCATTGATCACCATAGTGGCACAAGAAGAGGTGAGAGAGACTACAGTTGTGGCAAAGCGTCGTGAGGGTCAGGCCGAACCCACCTCACAGGTTGTGGTGGAACATAGCCACCAGCCAACCACTCTCTCTGCCACCATCACCAGTACTACCACAACTACAAGCATCACTCCCACCCCAGGTAGAACTGCTTGTCTCCAGCTTAATATTTCTCTGCACTCACAGGACTACTTTTTTGAGGATTGTATTTCCAATGGCATTTCTTGAAATTAGATTTTCTTGTTTTATTTTATACTAGCTCCATTTTCAAAAGATATCTTACTCCTGCCTTTAATTTCAATCCTATAAATAAAACCCTACATCCTTCAGATTTAGCTACCTCCTAATTTTTGTGTCTATATATGTTTATTTCCCTGGCTCATTTCGTTTCAAATTTGTCTAAGAAAGCAATCCTCAAAGATCATCACTAGCAAGAAATATTAGCTGGACAATTGTGTGGTGTGAAGCTTTGAAACTCACTTTGGCTTTCATATCAACTCACGCCATTGCTTTGTACCAGTGGCTGCCATGAAAATTTTTATTTTCAGCTATCTTATAATGAATAAGTTTGAGGCTCCCTAGTGGCTAGGATGTAATGAGGATCTGATTGGTAGTCTTTTAGGATCGTTGGGTGTTGTCATTGCAAACATCCTAGGAAGTTAGGATATTTGAGGAAGACCAGGACTGCAAGAGCAAATGGTACAAGTGACAATGTTAACAACTTGCAAATGAAAAAGTTATTATACTCAGAGAATGTTATAACCATTGAATAGAAGCTAAAGTAGATGTAACATGATAAGAAGATCAATAATCTGAAATTGAAAACAAAAATGTATTTAGAGAAACATAAAAGAAAATGTTATAACATTTTCTTCATTATCTAACTGTTCAACTACATGGTAGCTCCAGAACCCTATGAAATGTCAGTGTAAGAAGTAAGGGAAATTACATTAGAATATATAGTATAACAAAACTAAAGCTTCAAAAAGAGTAAATTATTACAGATCACATATTTGGTAATATGTGATACAGACTAAAATGTAGAATAGCAAATAAACAATTGTGTATAGGTAAGTAGAACCTTTTGATTTAAAAAAGAAATATATTATATTATATAAAAAACGGGATTTACATAGAATAGCTTCCCCTCCCCTTTTTGCCAAATGGTATTGCCTGAATTGCTTTGCATATCTTTTGCGTTAAGTAATTGTTAGTGCTTAATTTTGGTAGTATTTAAATCAGTAGTAATGTTGGTGCATGTCAGTGATTTATATTATTCCCTTTCAATGCCTGCCTCACACACAGGAGATTTAAGTAGATGTTGTGCATCATAACTGCAGTGATCTTTATGCTATTTTTCAATAAATACAATATTAAAACTAATTACTATCATAGGTTTTTATATATATTCAGTTTTTGCATTACTGACTGTAGGTTACTTTTACTCTTTAAGTAAAGAGATCAATAGGTCATTGCAGTTGCCTTTATTTGTACTTTATTATTTTAGTATATCAGATGAGTTAAGTTTGTATTTTTCAGTCAGCACGTTGACGTTTATTTAGATTTAATTTTTCTTCTTTTACATCTTTTTAAGATATCAGTAAAGGAATCTATTTTGAAAAGATTTTAGTGATTCAAGAAAGACAATACCACCAAAATGTAATAATGGTCCAAACTACTCAAGATCATGAAGTAAATTATTTGATATAAAACTATAAAGATATACTTCATTATTTTTGTTTCTATTGATAACCACCAGTTACCACCTTTACAATTCCCATAAGATATTGCATTGATGAGAACTTGATGCAAAGGCTTCCTGTAATATTTTATTCCTTTTCTTCCTTATTTTAAAAATGACATTATCAAGAATAAGAAGAATACATTAGGCAGAATTCCCCCCTTCAGAGTGAAATATTTTTGCTTCTTAGAACATTAGTATTTGTATAACCAGCAAAGAAAGTATAGAAGGTACTTATTGAAACTGCAACCTACAAGTTTTAGAAAAGCAAGAATCTTGTATTCTTTTGTTGTTGGAATATATATTACAGCATCTTCAGTCTGTACTAAGTAAGCCCAAAAATATGTTATTTAGTGCTGTGAAAGAACTAGGTCACTTCTACGTATAAGATCAGTCAGTAGCTCAGGGAATCCTTACACATTGCCAGTAAATGGATTATGGATTACGGAAGCAGCCTCAATCTCCTAACAGGATTATTTGTCTCGTGGTGGAGTGGAACTTGGCAGTCTTTGCTGATATTATATAAAGGTTTTTTGCTGTTGAGATTGTTTTA